AAGGAGGCCCCTTTGTCACCACCCCCCACCCCACAGTGTACCCAGCTCCGGTCACAAGGGGAGCCCCAGGAGGCCTCTTGTCACAGAGCCACTTGCCCAGTGCCCACAGTGCGATCACATTTTTGAGACTCCCTCATTGCTTGCTCAACTCTTACCACCGGCCACAGCTCTTCCTTAGCAACCTCCTCTTCCCTCCTTACCTGGGCCTAAGGCACAGCGCCTCTGGCTAGCAGGGTGGGAATCAGTTCCACTACTGGGATCCCAGTGGGTTAGGGGCCACAGGTATGCTGGTGGTGGGTGCCCAGGAAAAAGCCCAGAGAGGGGGTCCCCTCCACCCCCAGGCCCAGGCCCATCTGGTAGCACAGCCAAATGCAGTTGCTTTGGTGGATAAGCCCACAGGCAATTGGGCTCTGGCCTTGGCAATGGAACTGGTTCTCCCACAATTCCTTCCTCAGGCTGTGGCCTCCTCTCTTTATTGGAAATCACGGCAGAAGGGGGAACCAGATTCCACAGCACTGCACCTCCTGAAGTTGGAAGGGTCCATAGGATCCTTTCCTGGACAACAAGGCCTGACTCTGGCATCTCCAGCCGGCACTGCACTTTGTTTTTTCGAGATGCAGTTTTGCTCTGTTGCCCAGGCTGGAGTGCAGTGGCACGATCTTGGCTCACTGCAACCTCCACCTCCTGGTTCAAGTGATTCTCCTGCCTCAGCCTCCTGAGTAGCTGGGATTACAGGCACCTGCCACCACACCTGGCTAATTTTTTGTATTTTTAGTAGAGACTGGGTTTCATCATGTTACCCAGGCTGATCTTGAACTCCTGACCTCAACTGATCCACCCGCCTTAGCCTCCCAAAGTGCAGGGATTACAGGTGTGAGCCACTGTGCCTGGCCATGCACTGTACTTTTTAAGATGTTCCTAATAGTCTTCCTTCAGTCAACTCAGTTTTTACAAACCTAAAATTTACTTTAAAAGGAAAAGATATCATTACTCTAGGTGGATAATTAGTATCATTTACCATGGACACAACATAAATCACAAAAATAAATATTATTGAAGCAATTACGTCAGCTCCTTGAGGGCAATGGTTTGGGATTTACTGCTGTATCCCCAGCACGTAGAACAGTACCTGGCACATAAGAAGTTCTTGAAATGTATTTCTGAATGAAGAGTTGAGTAGGCAATAAATGCAAAGGGATGGGTAACCTACATAGGGGTACTTGGGGAGGGCGCTCAGCCTGTTTGTTGAAATGAGGAAAGGCAGGTGTTAGGGGTTAAAGCCATGCCAGCCCCACATGGAGACTTTCTTGATGTACTCAGAAGGACTGATTGACTTGAGAAAGGCAGAATGTCCTCCAAGCATGGTTGGGGACTCCTCAATGACAGTCTGGATGCAGCCTCGAGGTGTCTGAGCACCCGAGCATCCTCTTGGGGGGTGCATGCCAGGGGACCTGAAACTCAGGGTGGCACCTGGGTGAGAGGTAGGGCCAAGATTGGGGCGTGTCATGGGCCCCCTAAGGAGGCCCCACTGTGCCCAGGAGAGCTTCCCCGGCAGCACCGCTCACACACATGCATGAGACATGGCACATGAGAGTGTGGGAACAGACACCAGGCCTTTCGGCTACAGGCTTCACTTCACCTTGGCCAGGAGGAGGCTTTGCTGAGTGCTGGGTGTCCAGGTGAACCCCCTGCCCCCACCCTGCACTGTACTGTGTGCGCCTTCCTCACAGAGGGGCTGTCCCTGGAGCCCGGTGCGTGGGGTCTGGGTCTGTACCTGGCAGGAGCCTGTGGGAGTGGCCGCCACATCGGCGTGTTCGTCAGAGGCCTGGCACAGGAAACACGACGTCATCTCTGACTCACCCCTTGGCGGGGCTTGGGGTGGCCCGTGACTCTCACCTTCATCCATACTCTGGCCCAAGCACTGTAGCCAAGCCACTCATCCTCGGGCCCCTGTGGGGCATCTGCTGGGGAGGAGGGGCTGGAAGGAGGAAGAAAGGCTCTACAGCATCAGTGTGGAGCTGAGAGAGGCGGCTGTGGGAGGGAGACCCGCTGTGCAGGGGGCTGGGCGGATGTGCTGCTGGGGCCGGGAAAGACCTGGAATCCCGAAGGCAGGAGCCAGTGATGCTTAAACAGCCGTCAAAATAGATGGTCATAAAAAGAATAACACGCAGAATCATCATTTGTTCCCAGAGAGTCTCACAGGTTTTCAATTAAAAAAAAAAATGCTGAGGCCCAAACTTACTTGATAGTGCCTGCTCTGTAACAGCCAGGCCGAGAAAAACACAAACAAAAACAGAGAGAGCTCTGAACAGGCACCCCCAACCTGGGTCAGCCCCTTCCCATCTAGTGGCAAGGACCGGGTCCTGCTTCCAGAGCCTTCAGGCTGCTGAGCATCTGTCTAGCAGAGCCCCTGCTCATTGCATCCTCCGCCCCTACACCCAATGCCCTGCCTCCTCTCTGCTGCCAGTTTCCAAGGCTGGGCTCTGGTGATCGGGGATTGAGGAGACTCTCAGGGGTGACAGAGTCATGCACTCTGTCAGGGTTATCAGGCGTCCCGAACCGTGATAACCAGTGGCAGCATCTAAGGCTTGGGGGGCTTTTGTCAAAGCAAAATTTGGAGAGAGGCATGGGTTTGTGTCTCTCCCCTTTCTTACTCAGCCCTGGGCTTTCACCCAGTAATCGGGGGTGGGGCTTTCCCCAGTTTGGGAGTAGGGAAAGAAGGCGAAGGGAATCCCTGCCTTCATAGCTAAGCTGGGCCTCTGTGAGCCCATGTTCCAGAGCTGAAAGAGGACAGCCCCAAGGCAAATGGCCTCAAGGGGGTGACATGTGTGGAGCCACTTTAGGTCCTGAGTCGGGTGGTGGCATATGCCTGTAGTCCCAGCTACTCTGGAGGCTGAGGCAGGAGGATCACTTGAGCTCAGGGGTTTGAGGCCAGTGTGGGCAACATAACAAGATCCTGTCACTTAAAAAGAAGAAAAAAAGAAACCACTGGTTGTGGCCAAGAGTGCCAGGCCCCAGGGACAGTGCCATCAGTGCAAACCTTCAGCAATGCTCTCCCTCAGTGCAGAACTCCCCAGCAAGGTATACCAGTTTCTCCAGAAGGAAGGGAAGAGGCCCAGCCTAGCATGGGATTTGGGGACTGGAGCCCCTTACAAGGCTGAGCTGAGTTCTCCTGAATCAGGGATCACACCTGGCTAGGGTTCTCCCATGGAGCTGGAAGGCTGTGGCTCCCAGCCCAGCAGCAAGACTAGATCTGACTGCCCTTCTGCACACTCTGTAATTTGCCCCTGGAATCAGCATTAAGTCATTTGGAGGCCGATGCCAAAGATAAGAGCTCATATCAGCCTCTGGGATCTGTGGCCCAGACTCCCTGGCTCTGTTGTGGGCTTTGCTGCCTCAGCCTCCAGACTGGCCTGCGAGGGAGGGCAGGGCCTCAGCTGAGTTGCCCAGACAGTGGCATAGCCTTGGAGCCTTGAAGCCAGTGTGGACGGGTGCTGCTCCATGATATGCTCCCCCTTACAGATGGGGACAGTGAGAGGGTGACGTGGCCCCAGGGATCTTTGAAGTCCTCCGGGCTTTTCTCCTCTGCATCTGCTCTGACCCCAGCACACACAAGCTCCAGCTCCTTCTCACACAAAGTGGAACTGCACAGGTACCATGCTCCCGTGAACACAACCAGGCATACAGCACACTGCTGTGAGGAAGCTCAGAGCCAACAAGTCCAGAAGGGCTGCGGGCTCTACACAGGTCCTGGCTGTCACTCTCCAAGATGATGTGGACATAGAGGTCTGCGGGGGAGCTGGAAGGGTCTGAAAGGACCCTGAGGAGGGCCTCAGGAGACTGGGGGCTGGGAGGGTGGGTTCTGAAATCCCACTGCAGCTGGGGGCAGGGCGGGGGCAGCTCCATCTCAGTGACACTGTCCCCACCCACCTGAACTTCTTGCTTGAGTCTTGGGAGTTCACTGCCAACAATTCTTGTGGCTCAGACCCCCCCCACGAACACCTGGGCCTCACAACATCCGGCAGCAGGGCTGGGGGAGGTCAGGATGGAGAGGATACCCAGGCCCCAGTCCTAGGGCTGCAGTGCTAGTCCTGGACTTTGCTGCCCAGGAGGGCTGGACAGGGAGGGCTAGGAAGGCGGAGGCCAGTTCTATTCTGCTTTTTCCCTCTTCCCCTTGCCAAGGTCTTGAAATCCCCGCTAGTCTGGGGAGGGCTCAGAGCCGTCAGTGGACTTCCCTCCAGGGCAGGCTTGTGGCAGGGGAAGTGCTTCTCTCCGGGGCCTGGGGGCTTTCCCTGGGCCCAGGAGGAAGAAACTTGGCCCCACTCATAACTGGAAACCCGTCACAGACCCCCTGCTTTCCCCCTGAAAGGCCCCAGGACCCGCCTCATTTCCCTTTCGCCCAAGCCCAGGGGCCTGGGCCTCCGGGGACTGTGTTCTGGCCTAGCTTGGCTATCGACCTACTGCAAGACTCTGTGTGCTGGTCTCATGTGGGCAATGGGGCGGGGAGGTGGAGGAGAGTCCCTCCGGCCCAAGGTCTCCAAATAGATGAGAAAAAGGACAGTGTAAAAATCACCCGTGGCAGCAGGCATTTGTCAATATGGTGACAGATTCCTAGGAGGGAAATTCTGGGAGGTAAAGGGAAAAGGCAGAGGGAGAACGGGATGGGGTGGTGGGGTGTGCCAGGAGACATCTCTGTCCCTGAGGGAGGACTTGCTTCTGAGAAGCTGGGTTCCGGACAACTGAGTGGCTTGGGACAGGTCAAAGGGTGGGCGCAAAGACACCCTGTGGAGGGGGTGCTGGTCCCTCCAAATACAGGCAACAGCTTCCCCTCCCTCAGTCGCTGGTCCCTGCCTCCTCCCTGTGTGTTGGTCCCGCGCCCCGCCTTCCCTCGGAGTCCCCGGGTCCGCCCTGCCTGTGCCCCACGTGAGGGGCGGGGGCGGGCGCCAGCGCCTTCCTGCTCTGCCCTTGTATGGTGCCCCGGAGGCCGGCCCACGGGTACTTAACCCAGGCTGTTGCAGAGGGTGCCTGGAGCTGACCAACCGCTCGGGCAGCGCCACCGCCACGAGAGCTCGGGACGCGGGGAATAGCGGCAGGAAGAGGAAGAGGCACCAGTGGTCATGGGGCTGGAGGCGGCGCGCGAGCTAGAGTGCGCGGCGCTGGGCGCGCTGCTTCGAGAGCCGCGGGAGGCGGAGCGCACGCTGCTGCTGGACTGCCGCCCCTTCCTGGCCTTCTGCCGGCGCCACGTGCGCACCGCGCGACCGGTGCCCTGGAATGCGCTGCTGCGGCGCCGCGCCCGCGGCCCTCCTGCCGCTGCCCTCTCCTGCCTGCTGCCCGACCGCGCGCTGCGGGCGCGCCTGGACCGCGGGGAGCTAGCGTGGGCTGTGGTGCTGGACGAGGGCAGCCCCTCGGTGGCGGAGCTCCGGCCCGACAGCCCGGCCCACATGCTGCTAACCGCGCTGCTGCACGAGACCCGCGCGGGGTCCACAGCCGTGTGCTTCCTGCGAGGTGAGCGCGCCCACCGCCCTCGGCCGCCCGCATCGGACCCCGGCCGGGCCTTCCTCGCTGACTGTGCCCTTCCCCTCCCTGCAGGAGGCTTCGACGGCTTCCAGGCCTGCTGTCCGGATCTGTGTTCAGAGGCCCCCGCTCCTGCGCAGCCGCCAGTAGGGGACGAAACCAGTCGCTCAAACCCCAGGGCTCCCTTCTATGACCAAGTGAGTGGAGATAAGAGGTTCTTGTCACTGCCCTCCGCCCCTCCCTCCCTCCCCGCTGCAGGCTGGACGCCTTTAGGGAAAAAGCCTGCCATTCAGGGATGTGAGCAGTTTGCCCATATACACACCTTTATACGTGTGTGTGCGGGAGTGGGAGAGGGGCGGATACTGCTGCTCGAGCGTGCCTGTGTGGGTCTATGTATGTCTGCATGTGTATGCTGAGGGCATGAGGGGCCTGTGTGTCCCCGTGGGTCCTCCGCACATTCCTGAGTCCTGTCTCGGGTCAGGAGGACTGGCTGAGGGTTCCTCTTGTCTTGGCCAGCCCATGGGCTCTCCACCCACTGCTGCTGGTCCAGCCTTCTGGGGCTGGGCTGAGAAGGCCTCACCACCCCTCTGCCTCCTCCAGGGTGGCCCTGTGGAGATCTTGCCTTACCTATTCCTGGGCAGCTGCAGCCACTCGTCAGACCTGCAGGGGTTGCAGGCCTGTGGCATCACAGCCGTCCTCAACGTGTCCGCCAGCTGCCCCAACCACTTTGAGGGCCTTTTCCGCTACAAGAGTATCCCTGTGGAGGACAACCACATGGTGGAGATCAGCGCCTGGTTCCAGGAGGCCATAGGTTTCATTGGTAAGGGGGCGCCTCTGCCCAGAGATCCCAAGGGGCTCCAGGGGAGAGGAGTGGGGGCACCTATCTCCTGGCACATTCCTGTCTGACATCACTCCCCTGTTTCCCTTGCAGACTGGGTGAAGAACAGTGGAGGCCGGGTGCTGGTGCACTGCCAGGCGGGCATCTCACGCTCCGCCACCATCTGCCTGGCATACCTCATGCAGAGTCGCCGTGTGCGGCTAGACGAGGCCTTTGACTTCGTTAAGCAGCGCCGGGGGGTCATCTCCCCCAACTTTAGTTTCATGGGGCAGCTGCTGCAGTTTGAGACCCAGGTGCTGTGTCACTGAGGTGGCACCCCTCTGCCTGCCTGCCTTGCTGCTCTGGCTCTCCCTGGTTCCTGGGGGAGCTGACTGCGGACTGGTGGGCTCCCCTCTGAGCCAGTACAGACCCCTCACCTCTGGGAAGGCTGCTGCCTCCTCAGAGGTTGAGGAGCCCCCACATGGGGGCTCTAGGAATGCTGGCATGCTGGCCTTTTCAACCTGGTGCTCTTCTGCTGGGGGAATGAGGCTGGTCCTCATTCGGGGGTTGGGAACTGAGGTTGTGTCTGCTCTCTCCCACCCCATCTTCTGGCAGAAAACAACCGCACTCTACGCTGTGGACTCTCCCTAGTCCACCACTATGTTGAAGCCCTTGGGAGCCTGAGAGCTCCAAGGAACAAGCTGTGACAACCAGGAGCCCTGTCTTGGGGGGTGGTCCGCCCGGGGCCTGGAGCCTAAGCCCTGTGTTCCTGGGGGAGCTGGGGACTTGGGAAGTGATGAGTGTGTCATGTTGCACGTGTCCTCTGTGAGCCTTCCGCACCTGTGCTGGTGCTGGAAAGTTATTTGTGCTCTGCTGACATTTAACACTCCCTCCCCCGCTTCCTCCTAGCTCTGTGGGCAGGGGTTGGAAACTTAGCACTTTATATTTATACAGAACATTGAGGATGTGTCAATAAAATATTGTTTTGTTTAAAAAAACAACAGTCCCCCAAGCGTCTGGTCTTATCTGATGCCTGGGAGCCTTCTTGGACCTCACCTTTCCTTGTGCCTGCGCGGTTTGGGAAGTGGATGGGCAGAAGGGCCAGTGACCGGAAGGGGCTTTTCTGACCCTCCCGCAGAGGCTGCCCTGCTGGCCCTGGTTCTTCTACCCTGGGCTGCTGTCCTTTCCCAGACAGGGTCCTCGCTCTGGAGATGAACAGGGTCGTCTCTGAGAGGCTGGCTCCTGTCTGTGACTCAAAGCAGGGCCCAGTGCTGCCTTGATCAGACCCTGCTTCCTTTTCAGAACATGGAAGGATGTGAATGTGTGCCTGAGGGTGTGGTCCTGTGAGGGTGGGTGGTTTTGGCCTGTGCACACGTGTGTTGTGCGTGGTGTTCCTGTGGGAGCATTTGTGCACTCCCACGCGAGGCACTTCCCAGGCCGTGTGGGCCTCTGCTTCCTCACAGCAGCGTCCCGAGGCCTTTCTATTCTTCTCCCACACCCTGGGCGGCGGGAGGCTCACAGTGGCCCCTGTTCCAGGCATGTGGCCCCGTGTCTGGTACAGGACCTGTCACCAGGGATGGGATTCATTGCTCTGCACACCCACTTAACTAGCGCATCTTGGTTGAACTTCCAGTTACGGGCCCAGCATAGGACTAAGGTGTCTGTGGAGAGCTGAGACCAGGGCTCCACCCATGCCAGAAGCCAAGGGGTGCATGCCGAGGCTGCCGGAAGCGGTTGCTGTGATCTGCCTGAGAGCAGGGGTGCTGACGCCTTTGGGGATGGTGGTGCTGGAGCCAGTCCTGCTTCAGGCTCACTGGGACACTTTCGGCCACTCGGAGTGTCATCCAGACAAGGGTTGCCTCTGAACAGTCTACCTCTGCGGCAGGGGTCCCCAGGCCGTGGGCAGATCTCTGTTAGGAATTGGGCTGCACAGTAGGAAGTGAGCAGCTGCATCAGTATTACAGCTGCTCCCCACGCGCCCCATCGCTTGCATTACTACTACCTGAGTTCCACCTCCTATCAGATCAGAGATGGTATTAGATTCTCACAGGAGCTCGAACCTGTTGTGAACTGCATTTGAGGGATCTAAGATGCATGCTCCTTATGAAACTAACTGATAATCTGTCACTGTCTCCCATCACTCCCAGAAGGGACCATCTAGTTGCAGGAAAACAAGCTCTGGGCTCCCACTGATTCTACAGTATGATGAGTTGTATAATTATTTCCCTATAGATTACAATGTAATCATAGAAATAAAGTGCACAATAAATGTAATGCACTTGAATTATCTAGAAACCAACCCCCTCACCCCTGGTCCATGGAAAAATTGTCTTCCACAAAACTGGTCCCTGGGCCAGGCACGGTGACTCTTGCCTGTAATCCCGGCATTTTAGGAGGCCTTGGGTGGGTGGATTATCTGAGGTCAGGAGTTTGAGACCAGCCTGGCCAACATGTCGAAACCCTGTCTCTGCTAAAAACACAAAAATTAGCCGAGTATGGTGGCAGGCGTCCTGTAATCCAGCTACTTGGGAGTCTGAGGCAGGAGAATTGCTTGAACCCAGGAGTGGAGGTTGCAGTGAGCCTAGATCACACCATTGCACTCCAACCTGGGCGCCACGAGTGAAACTCGGTCTCAAGCAAACAAAAGAAAACTGATTTATGGTGCCACAGAGGTTGGGAACTGCTGTCTTACGGCATTCTGTATGCCTGGAAGGGCATACACGTGGGGCAGTGGGCAGCATAGTTTGACAGTATGGCGGCTGGTTTTGCTTAGCCTTGCTGTATACAGTTTTCTTGTCTGTAAAATGGAGTTTCGTCATTAGCCCCACCTCTCAGGTTGTAGACTTACACAAGCCAATCTGTGTATTGCTTGCACATAGTAGGTGGTCAGAAAATGTTAGCTAACTATGGCCCTAGCAGTGAGGTTGATCTGATATGCAGGTGTGCAGGTTCGAGGTGTGCATCTGGACCAGGATGGACACTTAACGACTGCTGGGCCTGGGGTCCTCTTAGCCCTGTGCCTGGAGCCCAGCACAGGTGGGCGCTCACTCTGTGAGGCTGAATGAAGGATGATCTTTCTTTCTTCCCTCTGCTCTCTGAGGGTGGGGTGAACCACTCCGGTGTAAACCGGGCAGAGCCAGAGCTGCTATCCTGATTTCCTTAGGACTTGAGCGGGTGTCTGTTGGGACCAGCTTATATCCCCATGCCCAGCTTGGGGCTTTAAGTCATAGGGGACTTCACACCACACAGCCTCATCTCACCAGCTGGACTGGTGGCCTCTGCCCACCCCACCCTTGGCCCGACCCTGTCCTGCCCCACCCAATAGCTTGTCATCCAGCAAACTGGCCTCTTTCTCGTTCCCTCCTTTTTTTCCTTCTATTAAATTTTCTAACTCTTAATTGTGGTAAAAAATGCAACATAAAATGGATCATCTTTACCATGATCAAGTGTGTAGCAGTAGAAAGTGTATTCACATCATTGTGCGACAGATATCCAGAGCTTTTTCATCTTGTAAACCCGAATTGTTACACCTATTAAACGATAACTCCCCCTCCCCACTCCCCAGTCCCTGGTAAGCTGTGCTCCACTTTCCGACTCTGTGCATTGGAATATTCTAGACACCTCTTGGAGGTAGAATCATGCAGGGTTTGTCTTTTTGTGACTGGTTTGTTTCCCTCAGCAAAATGTCCTCAGACCAACTGCAGTTCCTAATAAAGACCCTGTTTCTCTCCCAAAGCAGGATGATTATTTCTTACCATTATTTTAATTTTTTTTTTTTTTTTTTTTTTTTGAGATGGAGTCTCACTCTGTTGTCTAGGCTGGAGTGCAGTGGCATGATCTCGGCTCACTGCAACCTCTGCCTCCTGGGTTCATGGGATTTCTGACTAATTTTTGTATATTTAGTAGAGACAGGGTTTCACCATGTTGGACAGGCTGGTCTCAAACTTTAGACCTCAAGTGATCTGCCTGCCTCAGCATCCCAAAGTGCTGGGATTAGAGACATGAGCCACCACGCCTGGCCTACTTTAATTTTTTTACTGAACACTTACCTTAAGTGGTCAGCCTCATGCACTTCTTGTTTTTTTGAGGGGACCTATTCTTTATTTTACTTATTTTTTCTAGCTTTATTGAGCATAATTGACGAATAAAAGTATCATATGTTTAGGTGTGCAATGTGATGTTTTGACATACGAATACCTTGTGAAATGATGACCACAACAGGCTAATTAGCACATCCATCATGTGCATCCTGACATCTGTCAATACCCTGCCCTGGCAGCAGGGTATCTGCCTCCAACACAGTCTCCCTGTGATTCTGATTCCTATCTTTTGAGAAGCTCTGGATTGCTGAGAGGTCTTTATGGACAATAGCTGCTGTTCTTGGCTCTGTGGTTTCCCTTCACTGGGCATGGGTGGCTGTGAGGATGTCCCCAAATGCTGCCCAGTGCTGACATGCTCCACCTCTGGGATTTCAGTCCAGGTGGGCCTTGAGTGACCTGGCTCTGAGGCAGGGGTACGGAGGTGGGAGGATATAGGTAAGGAGTTTAAATTTCCAAATCTGTGAAATGGGGATAAATACTGACTGATCATGCCAGCTGCTGTGGGATTAGGGAGGTGGACTTCCTGCGAGGCTCTGGGCATCTGGAGGTTCCACCTTTTCCACATGGCAGGCTTTTTGGGGTACTGGTTGCACACTATTCAGTTTGTGAAATTTCCTGGAGCCCTGTGCTTGTGATAGTGCGCTTTTCTATCTGTGTACTAAAATGAAAGCTTGTGAAAGTGCAGTGACCTTTCCCTCCTTCCAGAGATACACCGGGAGTGCCTCGGGGTCTCAGGTAGCTTTCCCCACGTCTAAGCACAGGCAGGGGCAGGAAAGGGTGTCTCCCTCGCTGGAGGGATACGTCTATCCCAGGGCTGGGGCCTCAGCTGGGCCTGGAGCAACTTTCTGCGATGTTTCTCTGCCCCCTGGTGGCGGGAAGGAACCTCAGAAGAGCCACACTCCCAAGTGGGCCCCACAGTCTTACCCACGGCAGTCAGGAAGAGGACTGGGCTGGGGTGGGAAGCCTAGGTCGCAGGGGTTGCAGGTAGAGGTGTTTGGGGTGGGGCTGCAGGTGGAGCTGATTGGGGTGGGGCTGCAGGTGGGGGTGGCTGGGCGGGGCTGCAGGTGGAGGTGGTTGGGGCGGGGCTGCAGGTGGAGGTGGTTGGGGCAGGGCTGCAGGTGGAGGTGGTTGGTAGGAGCTAGGTGGGAGCTGGAGCAGCTGCTATTTTAGAGGCGGTGGTGGTGCTGGTTCTGTAATTAGGTTTCTGTGTCCTACTGGGGCTTAGTCTTGCTTGCTGAAGGGGCGGCAGGGCTCTACCATGGAGGGCATAGGGGGTCTCTGGCCTTGGGTGTTGGGTCTGCTCTCCTTGGCAGGTAAGCTGGCTGCCTGGCCCTGCTGCTGCTGGCTCCAGCCTGGAGAAAGCTGGGGAGAGGCCAGAAGGTTGTGGCTGGAGCCTGCAGGGATTGTAGCTGAGTTCAGTGGCTCAGAGCACGGAGCTCTCCAGGATTGTTCTAGAAGTCAGCTTCTGGGGGCCAAAGGGAGGCCTCCTGAAGGTCCTGGAAGTAGAGGGCCTGCCTGGCAGAAGATAGCAGGTGTTGTGCCCCAGACCTACTTGTCTTGTGGTAGGGGTAGACTGAAAGTCCCCACTCCAGCCTGGTCAGGCCAGGAGTCATCCAGGCTGAGCCCACTGTCCAAGAGTCTGGGCTGAGAGTCATAGAGTTGGGTCTGAGGCTGGCCCTGCCTCTGCCATGGGTGTCAGAACCTGAGGTCTGTCCTGCCTCTTTCGGAGCTCCTTCCCTGAGGTCATCTAGACTTTGGCACCAGTTGGGGTTGAGCAAGGAGGCCAGGAAGGCTCCTCAGCTCTGTGCTGGAGCCTACTTGGGGCTGAGTCTTGCAGTCTGATCCCCTACAACCACCCCATATCCTGCGGTCTGGTCTCACCGGTGGGTGTTCCAGGATAT